ATATATATCTAATAAAAGTGTGCTCTCCACTTTGTAATATTGTTTACAATTGCTTTCTATTTAAAACGGTAATTTTGTTTTCAGAACTCAACTTATGAATTCTCCTTAGAGTAAATAATTGATTATAACACATAGCTATTAAAAAGTTCACGCAAATACTATTGTATGGTTTTTTTATTTACTTACTTTACCAGTACCTTCAAGATACACTATCTTGCTATCTTGCTAATTTTAATATACATTAACTTCGTAATTGCTCATTTAAAGAATGATCAAAGGTTAAAAAAATTTTTTTAGTAGAGCCTGGCAAGTTATGTACTGAGTATATAATAAGACTCCTGCATGTCGTTTGATTCATCATACATAATATTCGGTAGTATACAACTTGTAAGATCTTATTCTTTTTATAGGTTTAATAAACATAAGGTAAATTTTTTGTGGTTTCATTAATCATAAATATTTGCAAAAATGATGTTTAGTAAGAAAAAAAAAAAAGTTGATATATATCAATCTATTACAGAAAATCAAGTATTTTTCTCAAATTTTTGTAGGTAAAACTCTACTATGATATAAAAAACTTAACATTTTAGAATCGTTTTGATAACTGTGCAAGTCAGAGATTGCGTATCTTATAAAATTGTTTTCAGTTTCTCTTGTGTACTAGTAATAACTAATACAAAAAACTGCTGTATGAAAAATAAAAAAGAGACATTGTGATTTTGCGTCCCGATGGTGTAAATAATCTGTAATTCATTGTATAATGTATTTTATATTATGATAAGTTTTGATACATAAGTATAGTTATAATTTTTTTAAAACCCAACATGGTAGTACAGAAAAAAATGCATAACGAAATTAAGAAAAATTGTACACTTTTTTTTTTTTTCTTTAACTTTGTAATCAGAACAAGTTTTTTTTTACTTCGTATTAATTGAAATTAATAGTTCATGTAATGAAATCCAGCATATTAAACTTGACTACCCTTTCACTTTTGTTAAAAGATCAATTTTACGAAAAGTTATCTGTTTTTTTATTTTTGAAGTACAGATCTTTTGATAAATTATACTTTTCTTATCAAAATAGACCTAAACATAGTTTTGATTTATCGGCTTTACAATTTTTCCTTCTAAATCATGAACATATAGTTTTTCAGGCTCTAGTCTTTGTTTTTGAAATTTGCTCTATTGCTTGTATCATTTTTTCATCACCATTTTGTTTTCATTTATGATTGAAATACTTTTGATTTTTGTTGAAAATAATAAAGTTTCACTTTTCTTGGTCCTATTTAGCACTTGATGTAGAAAATGTATGTTTTTATTACACTAGCACATGACTTTATTTATTTTTTCCTTGGGCATTTACATTATCTTTAGAATTAAATCCTCTTTATCTTCGGAAAGCTCTAATTTATTAATTCTTTCTACCTTTTTTTTATATTCTCTCTCTAGTTATTTCACAGTTTCTAAATGCTGTAAAGTTTTCGACAGTGCAAAATCCACACGTGATATTTTAACATCTTTTATTTCAACCTTCATTTACATTACTACATCTGATTCTTGTCAAATATTCTTCATTAATTACATTTATTCTTTCTCCATAGTATATCTCTGGCAACATCTTTTTCTATTAACAAAATTGTATTAAATCTGTTCATGTGAATTTCATTTAAGTAAATTTCTTGACTGATGAAAATCATAATATTGTACCTTAACCTTCTCTCTATCATACCCACTTCTTTCTTTTGATTCATAACTCTTATTAAATTAATAACATTAACTTTCTACTATGCTGAAAGTTGATTGTTTGTCTATCTTGAGCTGTTACTGTTTGAGATTTTTCTTCGTTCTTCTTTTAGATGACTGTCTGTGCGGGAACAGCCACCCGGCGCTTGCAGCACGTTTTTTTCTGTAGAATGCGCTCTGTTCAACTTGCCCACAAGCGATGGGAAAAAGCTAAAAAAAAAATATGAAGACATGTATCGAGAGATATTTTAGTTTCTTTTTTATGATGACATCTATTATTTCAGAAAAAAAATTTTTAGTGACAAAAATCAAGTTGTAAGTTTAGGTCAATTTTTCTCAAGTATAGATAAAAATTTAATTTTTTTTTTTTATTTAGACCAATCGAAAGAGCATCTCTTAAACTGCATCTCTTCAAATTTTCAGAGTAGGAGAGACAAAGGTGTGGAAATAGTAAGTAAAAAAAGACTGCAACACGTGATCTCGCGCGACTGCGCACACGGAGCGGGCTAGCCACTGCAGCTGGATAATAGACTTTCTTATCCTTGCTCATAATGGCTGGAAGTAAGCTAAAAAAATAATTAAAACACG